GGCTTTTGCAGAGATGCTGTGACTTGTCTGAAGCGACCCCTGGGACCCGTCTTCTCATGGAGTTTGCGCCATTCAATGCCAGTATTGTCGATTGTAATTTTCAGTATCATTCTGAGTACTGATAATATTATATTATAGCGATTATTGGCAAAGACAAATTGGTACCATCATCATTATTATTATTATTACTATTATTGTTATTATTATTGTTATCAAGCATCATTCTTGTGATTGTCATGAGTATTATTCTGATTAATGTTGCTATGATTAGTATAGTTCTTCTTCACATATGTCGTGTTGGTTCTTATTCATAAAGCCCCGAGGAAGCTTCCGGCGCTTCGGTTGCTGGCGCCGGCGCTCTGCTCTCTGCTGGGCCCGGAGTTGCAGCATTGGGCCCTTCGGCTTTAATGGGTTTGGGTGTTTGGGTTTGGGGTGTGCTGTTTGGGGCTTTGCGTTTACTGTAAGGTAGGGGGGTTTTTTGGTATAGGGTTTAGGGTTAGGTGTTTGTGGTTTAAGGCTTAAGGTTTAGCGCCTAGTTAAAGACCCCAAACGTGAGGGTTCAAGGTTGTAGTGTTTGGGGTTCAGGGTTTAAGACTTAAGGATGCCCCAGCTTCCCTCAAGAGGTCTGCAGGCAGAGGCTCTCAGTTTCTCTCGCAACGGCGCAGCTGTTGGTGTTGTGTTTTGGAGAGTGAGGTTGAGACCATCCTCGAGGTACTGCTCAAGGCTGGGATGTCAGCGCATGATGTGCCATCAGATCATCTTTGTGATGTCTTAGCCAAACGGGGGCCCTCAGTTCGTTTCTTTTACATGGAGTGCCTGGCATCACGGTGTACCTCGCACTGGGCAAGACCCTAAAACCTATACCCTAAGCCGCGTGAAACACCTCTTTTCCCAGCCAGTTGCTAGGCAGTCCTGATTCTAACCGTCTGGCTTGTGGCAAAAGCCCAGGGCGCAGTGCAGCTTGGCAAGAGGGTCCTAGGCCAGGCCAGGTCGAGTTCTCGACATCCGGCCCCTTGCATCAAACTTTCTCCCGGCAGTCCGCAGACATGTGGTCCCGTGCGATCACTTTGGCTATCAAGCACTGGCAGGAGTCATCCCAGGTCCTACGCCTAAGCTTAACCCCTTGAGCAAACTAAAAAGCCTTTGCGAGTCGTCTGGCGACTCTGCTTGAGGGCTAGTCCCAGTTCTTTGAAGGCATTGTTGCATCGCGAAGAGTCCTACATCTTCAAGAATGACAATGGAAGAGTCCCTGGGAATGAAGACAACCCATGGGCTCAGGTACGCTTGTCTCCGTGGTGGAACCATGTTCGGAGTTGCCTTTCTGAAGGCCCAGGGGACGATATTTCAATCGAGGCTTCGGGGAAGCGACAGCAATTCGATTTTACATGTGCCATGATCAGGTTTATCTATCTATCTATCTATCTATCTATCTATCTATATATATATATATACACACATACATCTCTCTCTCTCTCTCTCTCTGTCTCTCTCTCTCTCTCTCTCTCTCTGTCTCTCTTCATATATATATATATGTATATAGTATGTATAGGGTCTCTTGAACAAATGCGAGTTTGGAGAGCCAGGTCTTTCCCTTGGTCTTCGAAGTTTTCTGTTATCTTGTTTCGCTTGACATCGCTTAACATCCTTGAGAGATCGGTATCTGCACGTTCAAAACGACTGATGCGGTACCGAAGGTTTTGGGGTTTAGGGTTTAGGGAACATCGTGCTTCCGTGCAGATACTCGAAGAACGAGGTGTACTGCGGCGGCTGTGCAACAAGCCGCCCCTTGTATGAAGCTTCTTTTCTTCGGAATCTGTGCTTCTGGCTCGAAAGCACAAGTGATCTGATCTCAGGTTTGATCCGCACGGATCCTATTTAGATGAGATTGTTGGATTCTCCATGGCAGCCGCCTGGCTGAACCTGTCTATTTTCGGCATCAGCCATAGCCAGATTCACCGCTGGTGGAGCGTAGAACTTCTTTACCCGTATATCGGGTTTGTATCAGCTAGCGTAGTGAAAGGAAGGAAAGTAGTGCTAGAGTGAATAGCTGCAGCCCGCAGATCGTCTTGATTCTCCAACCTCATTCCTTACATCCTCGTGTGGGGAAGCCTTTCAAGAGCAGGGTTTTTGTGGACTCAGGTCCCGAGGCGCTAGGGGTACGTGTAGTGTGGAGGAGGAGAAGTAGGGGACTGGGGGGTGGCCGCAGATTGGCGGCATTGGCGGCAGTGGGAGAGTCGTTGTCACTAGCCCTCCTGCTGTTCGACCTTCACAAACCGCGAAGCTAGAGGCCCGTACGAAGATTTCCAGAACTCTCCCACACGCCCCCCTACAGGCCTCCAGAAGCCCATCAACCGGCAGAGGCATCAGAGGCCTCTGAAAGCCTTGGCAAGCTCATGCTCAGACCCAGAAGCCCCCTTTAGGATTTGAGACAAAGTGATAGCCATGCAGCTTGGAATCTAAGGCCTTAGGGTTCTATTGGCAGTTGAGCTCGGGATTCCTGGTGCCCTGGCCCATGAGCTGGCTCCCCGATGCAAGAGGAGGACTTTCAGTTGCTAGTTACTGGTGGTTTGTTGGATGTTTCTCGTGATCCTGCTGTGACCGCTGTGATCACTGACACGACTATTCCTTTTCCCTGTTGTCTTCATCGCGGTGTTCTTGATTGTTAACAGTTTCTTCTCTAATCTTGACGACAAAGAAGCTTGCTTGCAGCTCAGGCTTCTCTGGCCATTGACTGCGCTGGAGACATTTCTCGAGCTGCAAATTTCATGGCAATGAAGTGGTACTCCCTCCGAGAGAGTTCGCAGGAGGACAAGGAACGACAAGGACCAAAAGCAGCGCGCTGTAGAAACCGGCGCGCGGACTTCGCACTTGTCGAAACACAGCCCGTGACCTGCAAATCAAGTTTTCCAGCCCACAAGCGGTGAGGTTTGCAGAGCATCTGTTGCAGCGAGCATCTCGCTGTGAATTTGCCTCAGGGCAGGCTAAGTGTACGGCGTGGCAAGGTGGTTGGCGCATGATGCGTTTAAAGCCCAACATCGATCCTGTGCGATGCCAAAGACCTTGTCTCTGTTCTGTGCTCCTGTGTCTTCCCACTCCAGTCCATCCCACAAGTCGTGAAGCTCCCAAACTGTTGTGTGAAGGATCCTGCCGTGGCATCACGTCTGTCGATGTTGGAAGAGGCCGTGCAGCAATTCATCAGCATGTTGGGCTTGTAATGAGGCACCTGCGGCTCTTGCAAGGGATTCACTTTTGCCACTGTGGTTCTTGCTTTCTTGGTTCCTTTGTCCGAGGAATGAGGCTCGAAATCTCACGGCCACACTGAAATTTCTTATGTAAGGCTAGTTCATCCCTGTTTGTGTGAATGGCGACTTTGTCAAAGACACTGGTCTCCTTCCTCTGTGCACCTGCCGTAAGAGCTTGTGCCGAAGGTACATGCGGCGACTTTCTTCAATTGGATCTCGCTGTTGGTCGCAGTAGCCTTGCTGCCGAGAAGATGCCCCAGACACAGTCGGCTTCGCATCCCTGGCCACATGCTCGCGGGAAGGTTCCGGGGCAGTTCGGTACTACCGACGTCGTTTTGCCCTTGCCAAACGGCCCGGCAAACTGGACGTGGCACAATCCGAGCGGCCAGTGGGAAGACATGGTGGCAGGGGGCACGGTCATCGATGTTGATAAAAATCTGTACCTCATGACGATGTGGGGATTGTGGAAGTTTTCGCCTTCAGGTGAGTTGCTGTGGTACTACTCTACGCCAGGTCGCTCAGACAACGAGCCCTTCCTGAGTGGAGATAGACTCTTTGGATCCACCACAACCGGCTATGTCTTCGCGGTCGACAGGCACACTGGCCATGAAGTCTGGTCGAAGAAGGTGGCGGAGAGAGCAGGTGGGGATGCAGCTTATCCCGCTGCCTTCGACGGAGTCTTCGTTGTCGCCTCCTCAAAGTTTGAGGGCACTCCGGAGTTCCTTCCTGGAGGGAACACCAAGGTTTTTGGAATGAGCGTGGACACGGGAGATCAGCTCTGGGAGTACGAGGCCGATGCAACGCTCTGGAATCTGACGCCACTCTTCCCGGAGGATGACACCGTCGTCTTTATGTCCGCCGAGGGCAACGTCTATCGCCTGGGTTTGAAGAATGGCACATTGATCTACAGAACGGATGTGAACAGGACGTCGGGCACCTTTACGGACGGAGGGGCAGTGATTGGTCCGAACAAGATCATCTACACCTGCAGCAACCTCGGAACTGGCAAGCCTTCGCAACCAGGCATGGTACGAGCCTTCGGGCTGGAAAGGGGGAACTTAATCTGGGAGCACATGCTCTCGGAACCTTGCTGTACCTTCCCTGCAGTGGGACATGTCAAGGGTTCAGATTCTCTCGCGGTGGTGGTAGCGCCTGGGGCCTTTTCTGGTGGCTTTCACGAGGAAGGCAGCGTGGTGGCTTTGAATGCCGAGACTGGGGACATGTTGTGGAAATTCAATGCGGCACCGTACAACTTTCCTTTTGCTGCCGGAGACGGTCAGCGCACTCTGCACCTTGTCATGCACGGGCCCTCGCCACACCTCATTCGCCAGATCTGCCTTCCGGCGCATTGGAGTGCTCCTGCAATCACCGGTGACGGCACCGTCTACATCGGGCGGATGGACGGAAAGCTCTATGTCGTGCATGGCGCCCTAGCTGGAGACGAAGTGGGGGAGCTGACGAAGGATCCCGAGACCGGTGTTCACGCCCAAGTCTTGAAGGTTGGCAGTGCCCCAGTACACGGTGCGCTGGGCTTTGCTGACGGTCTCTTGAGTTATGCCACCTGCGACTCACTTTATGTATGGCAGGCGTGAGCACACGGAATCTGCGATGCGTGCTGGCAAGGGTGTAGATGTCCATTTGCGCAGCAGTGTAGCAATGCCGCGTGTGCCACGCCAACTCTTGAAAACACGCCATCTTGCCAATTTGACAGCAGCCTTGCCGAAGTTGTTTCAAGCTTGCAGCATAGGGGGAGACATGCTGGACAGCTTAAACTGTTGACAGGAACGCGAGTTGTAAATACCTACAGCCCCAATTAGGGCACCTATGCCTATAACCTTACTTACTACCAGTAAGTCCCATGATCGCCCAAGTAGTATGCTTCATCTTAGAGCCTACCAGCGACCAAAGCTTCGCCTGCCAGGCCATAGCTGGGGACACAGGAGGCCCCCCGGTGCCGGAGATCTTGCGAAGCAGCAGCGGCACCCATATTGTAGACCATCAATACGAAGATCCTTAGGTGGAGGGAGTGTGAGGATCAGCTTGGTGTTTGCTGGCTTGGTGTCTTTCAGGCTTGCTGAGCTGAACAAGTCGAGTTTCCGGTTGTGAAATCAGGACATTGACGCGCACCGCGTATGTGAATAGGTACCTGGGCTGGGGAGGTCCCGTTTATCGGGTCCTGATTGTGAGGTTGACGTACTCTGTTTTGGGATGCGGCTAGGCGCTCTGTTTTTAGAGGACCACCCATATAGAGCAACCATTTGAGCACACGAGTATATGTTTGGAATACTAAATGGAGAGTTCTGAAGTATTTAATTCCAGGAGAAGTACAGCTTCAGCAAGTGTGTACATCATATGAACAAGTAATGCATGCATTCAAGTGTATGTGAACATGTGTGTGTGTATATATATATATATACATATAGACACACACACACATGCACATCCATCTGGGTGTACATCCAGATCGAATCTAACCCTAAATCCTTCCTTCTTCCTTCCTTCAGTGCTAGCCGCTAGCCCTTGCAATCGCAGCCGCGTCCTCGTCGGTGGCTGCTGCCGCGGCAGACGCTGCACGGAAGTCTTCAGCAGAGGCAGGCGGAAGAGGCGTTAAGGTTGGGGGTTTGGGTTTAGGTATTAGGGATTCGGGGTTGGGGTTTAGGGACTAGGGTTTAGGGCTTATGGATTAGAGGCTTGATTTTGAGCCATACTTGTCGAAGCACATCGTACCGATGTAAGTGAGACACCGAGAGCCTCACCTGAGCCGGAAGACCGCCAAATCGAAGCCCTAAACCCCAAACCCGCATTTTCAAACCCAAACCCTACTCTCTCAACCCCAAACCCTAAAACCCTAAACCCTAAACCCCCAACCCCATTGCTGGGTATGGGGTTGATTCCTTAGGTGCAGTGGCTCCCGTCATCAAGCCTCAGCCAGATCGGCCTTTCTGACTCCCCAGGGCTGACGAAAAAGGGGCGATTTAAAAAAAAAACCAACCCCAAACTCTCAACCCCAAGCCCTAAAACCCTAAAGCCCTAAACCCGAAACTTTAAGCTTCCCAGCTCCGAGGCTCGCGCGGCCGCAGAGCGCGCTGCAGCTCTGGCTGCTGCCGTGGGAGAACGCAGCGGTCAGATTCCAAGACTTTGCGGGTTTTGGGAAGTTAAGGGTTTAGGGGTCAGGGATGTTTAGGGATGTTTTTGGGATGTTAACAAGTTTTGGGGTTAAAGGGTCAGGGCAGGCATAGGGTTTCGGGTTCCAGGGATCTTTCGGTTGGAAGCTGGCGTTTTAAGCTGCAAGGCTTCCGGCTCTCTGGCTTTGCCTGCGACCTTGCCCGGATGCAGGGCCTGAGGGGTTTAGGGTTTAGGGTTTAATGTTGAAATCCCGAGAAACTGCATACTGAAAGTTCTGGGCGAGGGTTGGCCATTCAACAATTTGCAGCCCCCAATCCTAACACATGAAGGCCCCGAGTAAAACAGTCATTCAGCATAAACGGGAATCCCAACTTTTGTGTCACAAGCCGGCCAGCACTTTCCTAGAGCCAAGCCCCACAACAGTTTCGGCTCGAACTTGCCCCATGCAGTCTGCCAGGTACCTCGGATCCCACGTCCGATGCCATCGATTCAGCCTCAGATGGGGATTCTGGCCGAAGGGGGCCTGCCATGGTCTGCAAAGCCGAAGACTGGCCAAGTGCTGGTTGCCGCATACCTGCCTTCAACAATTTTTCTGGCAGGCTGGTCTTGGTGTGGTGGGCTACTCAGAGCTTCAACATGGGTCAGGGATGCATATGGGGCACTGTAAGCAAACGCTTGCCGAAATCTTGTTTCGGAGTTGCCGCAAATATGATCCATGGGCACGTAGCCGTGGCATATGGTGGGGAATTTTGGGCTATTGCTCGATCATCCAGACATATTCAGACTGCACCACCTAGCTGGCTGGGGTTGCCTTGCACGCAGCATGCTGGGCGAATTTTTGTGATGAGGTGCCAGGTAGCATCCATACACCTCATAGGGTGAAAGAGTCGGCAAGGGCCCTTCCACAGATATGAGATTCACCGCTTCACCTTCGAAGCTCCCTGTCACATGTATCAGAAAGTAGAGCTTCCGGTTTATGGAGGTCTAGCAAGTTCCAATTGTCATACACTTGAGACATTTGCGGCTTATGCCTGAATCAGACGGCTAGACAAAGAACACCACACTGGCATTATCCATAGCACGAGCTTCTTGATAGCTCAGAGTGTGGGTAAGGACTGGGCGGCGTGGAGCGCAGGCGCCGACATTGACCGAAGCAGTAGCCTCAGTTGCTGCTATTGGGTCCGCGGTTGGCATGTTTGTTTGTCACTTTGTTCTTTGAACCCTGAGCTTAACCCCTAAACCCAAACTCGGCCTGAGTTTGGCAGACATCGCCGTTTGGACACCGCATAGGTACGTAGTCTTGAACCTTCGGTTGCCTGTCCGAAACTGAGCATAAGTAACTTATGCAACCTCACGCAAGACGGCGGAAGTGCGCAAGGAAAACTATTCCAGGTCCCATCTCTGAAT